TTTCAGCCTTCTCGATATGTCAATGCTGCCATTGCCTCTCTCGTTAGAAGGGCTTACTTACTATCATCTTCGCAAGAGCTGGTAAACATGGAGTTAGACAACATAAGTTTGGGGGTACGCACTGCTGGCTTTTCACGTGCAAAATTTACGCACGTGCTCAATATGGTAAAGAAATCACTGTTTCCAAGTACCACATTATGCAGCAAAAGAGAATTTTCAATGGTACAAACATCGTTGCCATACCTGGGACCCCTCTCTATACGTATCTGCAGAATCTTTAAGCAGCACGGCCTTATACTACCACTAACCCCACTTCCAAACCTACGCAAACTCATTTGTAATGATAGGGACAAATTTTCCACGCTTGAGAAGTCGGGGGTCTATGCTGTACCTCTGGAAAACCTTACAACGGGAGTAAATGCAAGATATGTCGGGGCCACTACTAGAATGCTTGCCAGCCGACTAGAAGAGCACCAAAACGATGTTGCGAGGGGTAGACACACCACCGAGCTCGCAAGAAAAGTACTTGAGCAGGGTTACAACCCGCTATGGTCCCAAGCGGTTATGCTCAAGAGCTGTAAGGATCGAAAAATCGTATTTATATGGGAGTCTCTTCTTACTACCACCTTGGACACGTGCAACATTCCAACTCTCGAGCTGCCCAGTGTATGGGTCACACTATACAAGCAATTAAGTAAAAATTAGCATTCTCCAGAATGCGTACAGTGTGTGTCTAGATCTGCGCATGCGCGTATTCGCACATCATGGAGCTTTCTGCTCGTTCGTTTTTCGAACATTTTTGAATATTTCTATCGTGTTCCTAACGACTTTTACTAAAGTTTCATCTTAAATTTAAGCGTTCTATTCCAAATCGGATTATTTCCGTTTAATTCTTTCGATAATTCGCCTGATGACGACGGCTATATGTTCGTCGAAAGTACTAGCGAATAAAAAACGCACACATAACGCCGACCTCAGTGCCTTCCCTTTTTTACAATATAATATTTTGGCGTGATCGTCAGCAAATTGATCAAAAAGCTTACTTATTGTTTCGTGTGATTGCAAAATAAAACTTTGTAAAATAACGATATTAATTTTATTTTACGTTTAAAATTTACTTTTTTATGTGTAAAAAAATAAATTGAAATTAAGTGAGAAGAAACCGGAGTCAGGTAGCCACAACGTTCAATGATTTCTTCCGATATGACGTCAAATATGACATTTTGCTTCCGATTAATAAATTGCTAGAATATATTTAACAGGAATATTTGAAAATGTATTATATTAAGTTTGTAACTACGTATTTATATATTTTTTAATCTAAATAATATTATTATTTTTCTTTAATTGCAAAATTTCAAATTTATAAAAGCCAAATTAATAAGTTGGGCTATTTTTAATATCGCTGTAATTGCCATCAGTCATTAATCAAAATGGCTGAATGATGTTCTTTATTTTGAATATTTATTATTATTTTTTTTTCATTTGTAAGTATTTGTGTTATTAGGTTAATTTTATTAATGTCATTAAAACTTGTATTACTCCGATTAAACGATTATCGTTAAGCTTATTTTGTGATAATATATTTTGAATTTTTTAATTAACGAATAACTCTCGCATTTGACGTGAAGCGATGACAAGTAGTACCACGTGTTTAATTATTGAAATAGATTATAAATTTTTCAATAATAAACATTTTATCTCTTTTGGACACAATTAGCATTTTTCCTTGATAGTAGTGCCTTTATGAGTAAAATAATTCAAAATTATTGCAATTCTTCACGAGATTTTTAAACCTTTACTAATTTTCGTTGTCTTTTGGTTTGACCAAGCTCATGCAAAAATTGATCCTACTTTTACAATCTCTCGATTGCTTATTAGGTAAGATTCTAGCTCTGAATAAGGAGAGTGCTATTTTTATTGAGAAGTAGAATCTTAACGTCTGTATAATCTGTATTTGTTATATATATATACAGATGTAAACCAGGGGTCTCAAACTCAAATGATGCAAAGGGCCAGTCAAATAGATGTATATCTACGGTGACCATACATCCTTTATTTAAGAGGACAGTCTTTTATTTCACTGCTCTGTTTTCTAACTTTATTTATTTTATAAAATAGGCATTTTGTCCTTCAGAATTATTTTTAAAAGAGCGACTTTTTAAAAACACGTTATTTTTTAAAGTTTAATTATTTAAAATGTGCAATATAGATGTATAGACTAGGGTGGTAACGAACAGTATATTTGGCCTCAGGCCGAATACCGAATATTCAGCCAAACTATTCAGCTCGATTAACGCACGTACGAAAATTGGCGCGCAAACCGCATTATGGCAAGGATCCTGCTGTCTATTGGCCCGCTGTCACTACGCTTCGCCAATCGCGTTAATTCTTGGCAGTTGTAGCGGACAGATAAGAGTGTCATGGAAGTATGTGATAAATGATGATATCAAATGTGGATAACAATGAAATGATCTACACGTGTAAATAATGGAAAAAGAACAGAGAAGGACCGCGAAGTGAAAATGTGAAAATAAATATGAAATTGAGTCGATAACATAATTGAACAAGTCGAGGCAGCTTATTGGCACGAAATTCGCGGTTGTCAATGCCAAACAATTGTTGTCATAGACTTCGGAAAGCTAAATGCTTGTAATGAAAGTCACTTAGCATTCACGGGCGAAAGCCTGGGGCTGTTCGGGCTATCAAGCTGTCTCGAATCTGTGAAATCATAACTGTGACTTATATTGACGTCCTATCTGTCTCTTTTCTCCATTATCACCAGGCTGAGTCACGTAATTGTAAAATGGGAACTCTAGGACGGAAAAGTGAAGAAATGAAAGTATCGTGAGCGCGTATTATGATGTATGCACAGGTATACATGGATTAGAGCGATAGAGGAAAGAGAAAGGGAAGAGCAAAGACGAGCGCTTAAAAAGAAGGATAGGTGGGGTCAGATTTTCAGATGTGCGAGGATTCTTCAACGATAGACGTGTACGTGTGCTGATCTTTGTAATTATAAATTGTGAATACATGTGACTAATATTATTTTCTTTTTTATTTTGTGCATGTTATAAATAAATATAAACAAACAACACTAACTTGATAACATTAAATCTAAATATCAAAATGATTAATTTACTGAGTTTTTGTTATTTCTTACAACTGTTTTTAGGTATTCGGTATTCGGCCGAATAGTGAAAAATAGGCCAAATACCGAATAGTAACCGAATATTCGTTACATCACTAGTTTAGACTATAGGCAATACAGTAGACTAAGAAGAAATAAACAGAGTTATGCTAACTCAGATTTATTTGTATGATAGAAATTGTTTTAATAAGTTTGAGTTTTATTTACGTGTTTCTTCAATTTTACGAGCTCTATGACGGCTTCTCTTTTCCGCTAGACTTATTACACCATCAATTAGAAACAAGACAAGCTTTAGAAAATCACATTTTTATTTCCTAGAGTATGAATTTCGGACTTCGAGTCCCTTATCAACTCTGATGTAACTGTTTAGAAAATAATGCATACATGTTAACATAAAATTTTTGCACTGTTACAAAATTTGTAAAAATTTTCAACTTACATGGTTACAAGAAGCACAGAAATGGTGACGATTGATAAAATACGGATCATAATTATTAATTTACAGGTATTTGCTATAACAATAGTTAAAATGTTAATGATTTACAAGAACAATATATATAACAGATGTAAAAATTGTGAACTACAGTAGATATGATGTGCATAGGTGCTTTTCAAACTTCTCCTGTACAAAGTTTGTATGTAAATGCTGTAGTGCTCTGCAACTTATTGGTTATTGTATATAAATATTATTTGTATAGTTATTACCATCTGTACTAGGCTTACCCCTCGATGTGGGTTCCTGTCCGTGGTGAGGGGACCTCCCAGAGATGGTTTAGTAAGTCTTCTTTACCATCCCTGGGATCTGAACGCCCACCCACGTGTTTGCCGTGCGTGGTATCCCGTATGCCGGAAAGGGGGATTCTGGTAGTTGAGGGGCAACATAACGTCCCCAACACACTGCTTTGGCCCCTGCTTCGGATAAACGGGAGGGTCAAATCAGGCTCCGTTTGAGTCAATCGGCTGGTCGTTGAGTCAGTTTTGACCTCGGCTTGGAGTCAACCGATCGATGCAGACCGGGCGGACATGNGCTAGAATATCTATTGGAGTAACTGTCACAGTTTGTTCTATATACTTGCCACCAGATGTCAGAGTGAATGAGAATGAATTGGATACTTTGGTTGAA